CAAACATATATATAATTAATCAACAGCAAATAAAATCAAATAAAAACAGCTATTGTGACATGATCTTCGGCACAGCCTTAAAGTGGTTTATTTATCAAAATCAATCATTTGGTACAAAAAAGCAGCACTGTTTCCCCTTGTAAACAAGATGTTATAATTTTTTCTCTTTTTTTTTCGGCCGAAATATTGACTACCGCTAAAATTAGCAGTAAGGAAATGAATATAGGCAAAATTTTCATTGGTCATTTTAACACTTATAGACTTTTCGCTTGATACTTTAGAAGCGCTTCCGTTATAGATAGAGGTCTGTTGGATTGCGCGATGGCAAGGTGTGTTGGAATCAGAATAAATATTAAAAGACTATAATGATATTTTCTAGATATTTCTAACAGCTTTTCAATAAATATATGAAATTAAATATGACAGATCGCCTTTTTGATGCTTTTGGGTTTCTGTCATAATATTCTCTTCTCGAACCGGGCCTAAGACGATTGAATTGAACTTTCGACTAATTTACAGTTGCAAAATTCTCCGTGGAATTAGTGTACAGTATCTACTAAATCTTTGTTTTATTATAAATTCCTATTCAAATCAAATTCCATTTTGATTAAAATAAAAAAAAATGTAAGTAATATTGTTTAAATCTAAGATGACAATTAATGGGGAAAAACATTGCGGGTAAAAATGAACTGAAATAAAACTATTGAGGACGAATAAAATGTTCTGTTTGGGGTTAGCATGGTTAGTAGTTTGTTTAATTGTTTAATTGGGGTTTACGTCACACCGACACATTATAGGTCATTTGGCGACGTTCCAGCTTTACTGGTGGAGGAAGACCTTAGGTGCCCTTCCCTGCATTATTTCAGGCACGAACAGGCACCTGAGTTTAACCACCGACGTTCCGTAAGCTAGCTGGATAGCTTCCTCACATGAAAATGTCCCTGTCGGAATTCGAACCCACAGCGATGAGGGGCGAGTGGTTTGAATTAAACGACCTTAACCACTCAGCCACGGACGCCCCATGGTTAGTAGTAGCTTATCATATGCATGTTAACAAGTTTGACTTCTTAAAGATACTTCTTGTTTTGTCTCGTGATGTTGACTTCGCTGCAGGAAATCGTTTATTACATTCAAATCAAATCAAACAGATTTGTTATTTACTTTGCTTATTTAGAGACCCCCCTATAACAGGGCCTGTGATGTTTTTTCCTAGCTCTTCTCAGATTAAAGGATTGTGATTGGTCAGAAACCTACACGGAAAAATATGCATGACTAATCTTGAGAATCGAGATACAGCTCAGAAAATAAAATCATAACCTCGAGACCAGAATTTTATGCTCACGACAACAGACTTAAGTGTAGGGTGTATGGTTGCTGTAAGAAATTGCTTGGTATTTCATATAAGTTCTTGTATCTTTGTGTGTGATAAGTGATTTGCTGAGTCTTATGATTAACTGCTGCTTTAGCCGGTGCTAGTGGGTGTGAGTTATGTTGCACACATTGTTTCATTGCCCCTCAGAACAGATTCAGTCAAAGTAAGTCTAAATTGTTTACCATTTTCCTTCTATATATAGCGCTCTGAGGATCTCACTTTTCCAAAATTTTCATAAATCATAATATCTATTCCTCTTTATATTGAAATATGGAAAATAAAAGTTATTTTAATATCATTAGTATTCGTAGAATTGAATTAATATCATTTATATACCAGATGCCTTTAATATTAATCCATTGAACATAGTAAGTTGGTTTTAGAAACTGGCACAAATGAAAATAAACATTTTAAATCCATCTTATGCTCCCTCAAATACAAGTTATTCTAATTATTATTTTACTTAAACAAATATATATACATGTGTATTTATATAAATAGGTTCCAATTTGGTACAAAATGTTAAATAACACATCAAATAAACTGTATATTGCTACTTTTCAGGTGTTCAACTATATAGGTTAGTATACAATGCAACATTTATTTAGCATTTAACATGATTGACTTATTCTAACATGTTTAACCTAAGGTAATTTGAAAAGGTTTAATATACCACATAAACAGGTATTTGCTGTCTTCAGAAATACTGATAATTAACCAATTTCTTAATGTCCACAAAGGTTAACATGTCAATACAATGCATCAATTAAACGCCGGGCGATTTTACGTATTTATGGAAAGCATTGACATATGATTTTGAATATGATACAAAGTTACAGTAGATAAATAAATAGTCTGTTCATTTAAGACATGTAAAAAATACACACGGTCACACACAAAAATTCAACGTCACGTAATTATCAAAGTTTGCATTATTTTGTAGCAAATTGTTATACAATGATACAAATACATTTTCGAACTGCATTAACAATACAACAGCAATGGAGAATGAGAGAATGAAAAGAAATTAAAAACTGTTACGAATAAGTCAACAAAAATTAATACAATACATGATACGGCACTATAAGATTTTGTTATCAACGGTATTTAATATACTAGTACTAGTAATGTATAAAACCAACACAAGTAATAGTACATTCATTAATAAAAACAACTTTAATTTCCAAAAGCTTATACAATGTACTTTCAAAAGTCAATTAAATGATCACGCAAACTAACATTTATTCTTAATTATAATAGAAACATATTCATTCATAAAAAATACAGAAAGACATATGTAACAATGTTATGTTTGAGCATTATAAATTTTGTTTGCATTTAATTTTCTGATACTGCAATTTTAGCGTATATCTAGTAAAAAATTGTATAATCCAAAGCAAATTGTTGTCAAGAAATTAAAAACAAAACAAAAACACCACTACTACTGCCACCAACAACAAATGTAAAAAGATAAAATTACTTACAGGTAATGCATCAACATTTTACTCCGTTTCATGACGTAACTAGCATTGTCTTTCATGTTTGTAGAATATTTTGTCATCAATACCTATAAAGAAAAAGAAACAAAATCATTGTAGAAAATCTTGTGGTCCTTTCAACATTTTCTCGACTTTTTTTCTTTATTTGAAAAGGGGCAAGCCTGATTTTTTTATTGTTTAAATAATGATTTTAGAGAATGCTTTAAAATGCTTATTACCTGAAGAAAGTAGCACTGAATGTGGAATTTTTGTCAAAAATGTAGCAAAATGGAAAATCAAAGTAGTAGATCTATTTTGTCTTCCATCAAAATACTAAATCTTTTTAACTAAACTAATTGCAAAAAAGCAAAAGAAGCAAATACGGTTCAGATAATTGAAACTATTGGAACATAAAAAATAAAAAGCTCTTGAGAAAAGAAAACAACAACTAAAACATTTTTTCGGTATATGGGCCTTTAACCTGTTTGCTTGTGAAGATGTTTAACTGATTTCCTGGTTTTATACATATAATGAATGCTTAATCTTGAAATTCATCTGACTGTCAATATCTATTACAGGAAGTTTGGATTGTTGTCTAACCCACTGCAATTGCTTGGAATGTATGTAGGTGTACTGGCATATTATTAAAAAGGAAGTCATATTTAAGTACACCACTTTTTGTTGTAGCATGTAAGTCAGATTCTAGATATGTGCAGTATGAAAAGGATAGTCTTATCATCTGCATAATTATAAAAAAGGTGCATTTATAAATAAAAACATACTATTAATGAAAACATTGATTCGTAATCTCTTAGGGGCAGGCAATATTGCCTATTTCTTATTTGCTCTCTCCTGCGCATCGGTCGAATATTTCACTAACGCTCACTTCGTACCTCTGCTAAAACAGTATCCACAGACCGATATTTCCATTTTTAGGCATGATCCTGATAAGCCAGATGCTGTTAATATGTGTAACAAAATGTCATGCAATCAAATTTATTGCATCCACACATTAATTGCTGTCAAACTTCTCTCAATCGTCAACCAATCTTAAAAGTGGAGCTTGGCAACAATGCCCTTTTTCTTAAAGCTCGCAAATAATGATTAAATATATTGTCAAAAAATAACAATGCGCATTCAAAATGTTATTATAGAATATGTTTATATTTTACTTTTATAATAGCAGCATTTTCGAATAAATGTTTAACTTGATTTCTTTACATACATTATTCTCATATTTGATCTTCAAAAATAGTGATAATTTCGATACAGTTTCTTTTAAAATGTAAAATAAACATCTTTTGATTACACACAGAGACATTATTTAACATTTAACAGACCCTTCACACTATTGGTAAACACAGTATAAATACAAAGAGTCGTTAGAAATACAGTATGTAAGTAAGGACAAAATGAACTTGACCAGTAATTAGAAACACAGCTTCCCAAACATAGTTTATTTATTCTCTTATTCAAGTTAAACATATTCAGCAAGAATTTTCAAGGTTTTAAATAATTTTCTTAATTAAATGAATGTTACTCAAAGATGAGAATAATATATATCAATATTTTTATAGGAAAACGTATTTGATTTAATTGAGATATTTATCAAGTTCGTCCACTAACGAGGGCTACTAAGCTTTAAACGGTTTTAAAGTAACAATTCAACAATAGTAATGGATTGATGACCGTTCGACAATGCGGACATGAAGGGATAAACTAGTAGGTTATTTTACTGTGATAAATGGCGATTTATACACAATAGAGCGGGTTATGTTCTTATTGCTATTTAAGCGCTCAAAACGTGTTGAGAAGGACCTTAACGAACCACAATGAAGATGCACCCGTGTTTGATAAAGGAGAATAACATATTTTGTGTTTTCGTTTTATACTTGACATTCAGTTATTATTAATGGTCAATGATTTTTTGATATACAAAGATAAATACGCATAAACTGGGTAAATTGGTTACAAAATAAAACATTTTATTTTGTTGCCTGTGCCTGCTGAATACTGAAAAGAATTAAAAGATAATCATAAATCTATAATAACAAACAAAACAGGAACAATTGCTTTTATTCGTGTCTTTAAAGAATAACGACTTCATTAAAAAATAGATATTCAAGACCTTGCGGACTTTATAAAATAAAATGAACGAAGTTGAATTTTACCGCGGAGCAAGAAGTGATCATCCTCAGTCACGGAGGTATTCTGAAAGATATGATGTTATCGGAGAAACAAAGGATAACAGCACTGAGGAAAACGGTTATATCTTTTACACTGGTTTCAACAATGCAAGCGGCATGTATAGAGATGCACGAAGGGAACCATCACATAAAGTAAGTTAATTTATCACTGTAATAACTTGATCCTTAAACAATATTTTTTCTTTTTCATGATAAAGCTTTGAAATTTGTCTTGTGACTCAAATTATTTAAGGCTGGTCCTATCAATGCAATATCTTCACAAAGTGTTCCCAAAGATAACACACTTGTTTATCATCTCAAAAGGAGAAAGGAATGAAATTGACAGTATGAAGAAAAAAGTTTGTAAAATGGGTCAAACCGTTCACGCCGAATTAATTAGGCTACGACTGTTCATACTTATTGCATCAAGAAAACTGAAAGATTATTGACAAAAAATGGGTTTTTTTTTATCAAACAACTAAAATACACCTAAAGTGTGTAATGATACCATGCCCGGGCCAAACCTCGATATCAGTTGATCATAGACATGGTAAATGATTTGGATTGTGATTAATAAGGCGTTTAAATTGGTCATCATTTGAAATGCAAATAAACTTTGATTCACGCGTTATTTATATTTATCAGATGAGACCTTCACACAGATGCCCATGTTCGCCATAATCAAGCGTTTTATCAGACAACCAATATTTTTCCTGAAAACATTATGCACCTGTTTTCCGTGACTTTAAATAATAAGATGTTTAATTACTGAAAAGACATGAATGTTAAACAAAAATACTGCACTGAATGAAACAACACACATATCGAACGTACATCAGCACCTCTGTACCTGGGACATATGTCCCTTAATAATAATGACACACAGATTGTCTCCTCATGGTATTGCATCTTAGAGAGTAAACAAAAAATTATTACTAAGACACATTTTAGGGAAGGTAATCCGAGTCATATTTGACCACTAAAGAACTAGAACTTTAAGGCAACTGTTTGTATATTTCAGCTGCATTATAGTTTTTTAATAATTCATATTTGTCATAATTCGTATTTGCAAGGAAATCTTTTTTCACGTTGCTTTGTTAATTATGAGAAATTGTACAACGATCTACATATTTGACCGTCTTAATGTGAAGCTATATTTTGCGATGCAAACACAACCATACGTTCTGTAATTTGTTATACTTCAGCGTAGCACTAAAATTTTCCTCCTTATCAAATGTTTTATTCTTGTAAAGGCTGTCAACAACCAGTTCCAAGACATCGGGAATACTTCGGGCAGCATAAAATCGTTTGATTCTACCGGAAAACAGAAGAGTTTCCGGCGCCTTATCGCAAGGTTCGCCGAGAAAACATCGATGCAAGGCGTTCCTTACATAAATAATGCAAAGTTTTGGTGGGCAAGATTAATTTGGTGTTTTATGTTGCTTGCTGCAATTGCCGCAATGTCTTTGCACCTTTGGTATCTGGTTGACCAATACATGGACTACCCTGTACAGACAAAAATTTCGTTAGGATTTGAGACTCTGAAATTTCCCGAGATTACAATATGCAACGCAAATGTCATGCATAAAAAACGTGTGGACAAATACGACGGAGCTGAAAAGTTAAAGGAGCTTCTTGAAAACTTGCATCCAGAAAACCTTGTACCAGATCAGTTTGACCCAAATTATGATCCACACGGGCCAAAACTGCCACCTCCAGGAGGTCAAGGTAAACAGGGACCGGGAGGTCTACCAGAAAGTGGGTCAACTTCTGGTTCGCAAAAACCACCAATTGTAAGTTTGATTATCATTTTATAACCAATAATATAGATTCAGTGTACGCTTGTCTTTGATTAAGTCATTTTAAGATAACCTGAAATTCTTTAAAACTAAGATAGATACTTCAACAGCGCTTGTTAACTTTCGCTTATTTTCTGTTATTATCGAACGCATTTAACACTACGCAAGCATTGATATTGCTCCGCCCTCCGGATTACGTGACTTGTTATTAATGTCATGCCACTTGTTGACAATAACTTTGGATGTTGTCAACAAATTATATCTAAATAAATCGAATACATACAAGACTGGTCCAAGTTTTGTTACCGGGTATCTTTCCGTTCTTCACGGCCATTGACGGCGCTATTTTAAGTTTCGCTGATTTGGGACACAAGGAATTTATTTCGACTGGCTGACACGATTATGTTTAATGTTGAATACAACAGTTAGGAAACACTACAGTCTTTGTCGTCATTGTCTTATTTATTTTTATTAAAAGTTCTAACAAAATCTGGAATATTTCAAACATTTACATGAACCATTCATAGTTTCATCATAATTTTGCAACTATTGTTTAAACTATTTACATCATATTACTTTTCTAATAAAGCCAGGATATATTTTGTCTCTCTTTGGAATTATCAGAGTGTATACTTATCAATATGATTCTTTTCGACAGAGACGCAAACGTTTTCTTAACGAATACAAAAATTTCAATAAAACTAAATTTGGTGGCAAAGATCGTCCGAATTTTCGAGAAATAGGACCAAAAGATCAAAATGATTTTGATGGAGAATTGGATTCTAGGACAGAGCTGGAAGATCTATTTAAATGGTTGTTTATGTCAATCCCAAAGTAAGTTGCATAAAACATTTATGTTTGTGTCATTCTAACATATTTCAAAATATGCAATATAATTTGTTCACTTTAAAATTAAAAGGAATCGAATATTAGAATCGAAATCAATACTGTGAGCTCAAATGACACGTTAGAAAGCTATTGGGCTTTTTTCCTTAACCTTGCACGACAAGTTTCTGTTTATTTGAAAGTTCCATGATAAACTCCGTATGAACACATCTGCTGATGTTTCTAAATTCAATTTCGCCATTTTTAATGTTTAATATTTAAATGTCGAATTCTGCTTAAGCCGGTGTTAGAGGACGTGGAGGGTAACTTGCACTTTCCAGTCCATGAACAGGTTCAGTCAAACCGAGCCTGCAACATTTTCAATTTTGTCGTTTTTTGGCGTTCTTTATGGATTCCGTCTTCTCTAATTTGTGTGTATTTGGTTTTGGTTTTTATGTAGATTTTAACACATATTTGGTCATACTTTCAGCGGTTGATTTACCTTACTGTTTTTTCTGGATAACAAACCAGTAATAACCAATATCTCTGCAAGCGAACCTATATGATTTCTGAATCAGCGGTTTGTTCTAACATCGATGCAATTAAACGATTTTGTTTTCAGGCAGGAGAGAGCTGAATTGGGCCACAATATAACAGATATGCTGATCAGCTGTACGTTTAACGGGAGGATGTGCTCTTCAAAGTAAGACCTTTTAGAAGTTGTCACTGGTATTCACTTTAACAACCCATCCAATTTTGCGGCTCTACGAAATGCGTTGATTTTGATACGGTTAAGCACTTATTTCATATTCATAGAAATAAATATAGAAATTGAGGAGCCTGGCTTTATTGACATTCTGTTATTTTTCTCGAGCGTTGAAATGGTGAAGATCGACAACTTGTTTTAGGTTAAGTCAACCAATGTTGCATCTTCAAAGTGAGAAATAAAAATGAGCCGCCAACAAGAAATAACAAGAGCATCGCAAAGGCAGAGCAATACGCCCGAATGCAAATGTGTTTCAGTAATTTAATAAATTGCAGAAGTGTCCCGTTCATTAAACTTGCCCAGAGAATGTGTATATTAATTATCATCATGATACAAAGTGATCCCCAAAGGCTGGGATATTTAAAACCCAAAGTACATGGTTATTTTATGCAACTTTTATTGATATTATATTTATAATACTCACTTAAAACAACAATAATGTTGGGTTATATGCGTTTACAAATATTTTACTACCTCCTTTTACACCAATAACATCAATATCCATACAGACAATTAACATTATGTTCACGATTCGTTCAAAAGTGATGATTCTACTTTTATGAAGGACAACAAGGTAATTCTACATGCCAGATGCCTATGCTTAGCACAATTAAGGTTTGGAGGAAAAGACTTTACAGACATGTTTACTATATACTATGTACATACTGTGTAAGTGACAACTAACACCCCCCCCCCCCCTACTGACAAAAAGGCAGTTTGTACAACAGGTTGATAATTTTATACGAATTGTAGTGTTAAAAGGACCCACCAGATTCATACATGCCGAATAGCTAATTTCTGTGTAATGTTATTTTTATAATAATGAATCGAACTTGAATGTGTTTTCCTTAATAAGTCATTGTAACTTAAGTGACCCCTGTGGTTATGCCGATACTGACCCCTGGGACATGATTTATATCACATTTGTAAAAGTCGAAATTCATGCTGCATATCGCCATACAAGTCCATATTAATGATACATATCCAACCTTTTAGCATGATAGTTTCACACAGTAAACTAAATTACATTTTCCTACACAAGCCTGCGGATGTTTTTAGATGCAAAATATTACCATTTCATGTTTAAATGTTGAATTCTGCTTAAGCCGGTGCTAAGGGATGTGGACGGTAGTTTGCACTTGACAGTACTGTCCATGAACAGGCTCAATAAAACCGAGCCTGCACCAGTTTTAATTTTGCCGTGTTGGGCTTTCTTTAGGGATTCTTATATTCTATAGATGTAAATAGTAGACAGAGCGAACACGAAGGCATTTCAAATTCATGCATAATGACCAAGTTGGACCTTGAACTTAACAAGCCTTTACCCATGTTCTGCACATCTCGAACTGGGTAACATTTCTGCTCGGCAGTTTAAATTCAAAAACACGAATATGCTAAAAGATAGACAGGCGACCGAAACATTGTAGGAACTACCTCCTAAATGTTGAGAAAACAATGCCGACAATTTTGTTTCCTTGGAAATGTTACACGTGACCAAATTTTACTGTTACCTATATAACAGTACAAACTTCTAAGTCACGTGGTGTACTTACATTAATACATGTAACAGTAAGAATGACTCCCACTGGCATATGAAAAAAAAATCAACTGATCGGTACATTTTTATTGCAGTATGTTCACCCTACATCAGACAACAGAATATGGTAATTGCTGGTCAATTAGCTCTGACAAATTTAAAGTGAAACACCCAGGGCCATCTGGAGGTATACATTTGACTTAAACAGTTTTCTACTTATATACGAGTACACATGCATATTCGTTATTATTTCTTTAAGAGAACTGTAAGAAATATAGGACTGTTTTTATGTTTAAACAATTGTTTTCATTTGTTTCGTTGTTTTTTTTCCTGAACAAAATATTGATTTTTGTCTAGAAAAAACTTGAAATAAGGTGTCAATGGCGTGTTTTCTATGAAATAATATGATACTAGACAGTGATTGGTGAATTACGATTTCATGTCTGTCCAGACTTAAAATCCAAGTGGAAAATTTGTTGTTGTTTTTTTTAAACTATCAAGGTATTATTTGAAACCTATTACAGGTGGAGCTTCTTTTTCAAAATAGCTCAAATGTTTTTAATACTTTGTTTGATTTATGATTATTTGATTATTATTATTTACGAAAATGGATTTTATTAGATTTTAAAAGGACTGGCGTTTAGTCGGTTATGATGCGATTCACATCGCTAGCGTCTGTACACGAATATGAAGTACCAAGTTATAAAATAGGTAAACATTCCTTAGTCACCTTTTCGGACTTATCTTTAATAAAACTTCTTCAAAATCAATTAGTTTTTTAAAAAAGGTAAGAAATATCTAATAATTTATATCAAATCTTTGACGCATTTACCTCCCTCGCAATAGTTGAGCTATCTGTAACAATGCATCGTCGGAACCCACTGGCACATATTCCACAATCGTTTTTACGTAACGAGTACGCATGAGTCACCGATGATGATAACTATAGCGAAGTGATATAAAGTATAATCTTTACTTTTCAGGGCTTTCTTTGGTGTTTTATCTGGAGGTAACAGAGTATTTAAAAGGTCTGACGACAGGATACGGTGCTAGGATTCAGATACATGAGCAACGTACATATCCTCTACCTGCAGAAGAAGGGCTGTTTATTCCAGCTTCCATGGAGACTGATATTGGTCTAAGAATGGTAAATTGGTCACGTGATATTTATGGGGGTAACCGCTTTCGGTTAATAACTGAAACATAAATATCAGTCCCTTTTAGATCGCTTGCACCAAGCGTGCAACCACTTGACATGATGCCTATGCTTGTTGTATGGGTACATAAAGTCATAACTGAATTTAGAATCCCGGAGAATAATTTTATTTACACCGTCGTTTATAGCAGCATATAAAGGCTATAAAGGAGGTTTGGTGCATATTGAATCGGTCTTAACATTCATTCATGATTTTACTGACAGTGCCCCTCTCTGTCCCTTTAATGTATGTCTTGTTTTAAATGTGTTTACATTTGTTGAATCTTTGTGTCTGAATGTGTTATTTGTCCTCAGCAGTGAGCGTTTTCTTTCCCCTCTCTGTCCTGCTTTATACCTTAAATTCCTGTTTTATCCCGTTTAATCAATCAATTATCTATGTTAGTGTTTTCATTTAATTTTCTATGATCTCCTTTATAATGATGTTACTCATTTACATTAGTTTGTTCGCACTCATCCTTCCTTGCGCTGTCGATGAGCCTTTATCTATATTTGTTCGTTGCTTGCTCCGCTTGGTGCATTTAACGGTTGGTTGTCCCGTGTAGTTGGATATGGTTGGCGTAAACTTTTCCTTTTCATATCAAACTGACTTATTATGCTTGTTTTACTATGGAGCGTTGAGAGACTAATTTTAACACATGTATCTTGCATCCTACTTATATGTAATGGAAACATAATGTGTGTGATTTATTTTTATACAGTGGATTAAAAATTATATCTACATTTGAAAAATTTAATCGAGATTCAGCTGTTTTTATAATAATAATAATCATCATCATCATCGTCGTTTTTATTATCATTACAATTAGTATTTACTTTCCGCTGACTCGTTTTTTCTTTGAAATAATTTTAGTCAAAAGTCTTTAAAGGACAAAATAATGTCATTCTTTTTGCACTTATCATATTCAAGTGTAAAATATAATAAACCAGGTGAAGTTATTTTGAAACAGATATCTATATCACGACAAAGTGGATTGTATGGTGACTGTAATGATGGACAGGGTCTAGAGAAATACACAATGTATAAATATACTAGATCGGTACGTGTCTGATTCGTTTATTTTTGTAAAAACGGTATTATAATATTTCTAGGCATCATTACCTCGCACTTTACCAAGTTTCGCTATTTTCCGCATTTTATCTGTTTCAGTCTGATAACTCTTGTTCGACGAGCGTTCATATGACATTTTTTTCTGATTTATAAAAGTTGGCCCCGTTTGCACTAAGAAATGATCCTGATTTTCTTTATATTGTTTTATAAATTCCTAGAACTTAATGGTATATAGTCAAAGTGTTAAAGAATTGCCGATTTGCACAGAAACAAGCCTATATTGAAAGGATTTTGACAAACTACAAAACAAATACAAAAGGAATGAATACAAAATAAGGATCAATTTTAGGATCAGAATCAATATTTGGATCAACTATTAAGTAAAATTACAATAAATTTATTCTAAAATTTTATAATCATGCTATTTTAATTTCAATTCGAATGTTAATATTAAATGCTAATTCAATGAGGATAAAAGCTGGAAAATATCTTAGTTTTTAAATTTTATCCTGATCTTGATCCTGATCCTTAAATCTTCAGATGCGACACGGAAAGTGACGAATAATGCCGATTTTTCACGACCTAACTCACAACCAAAATTTACATCTGATTGTGAATCTTCATCTTGTTATATTTGCCATATTTATTATTTTTATCGACGCAATTATATAATTCTTCTAGAATTTCTTCTGATGTTGATATTTAATCAAATTAAAATGTTATCATATTCTAGGCATGTCAGGCGCTTTGTCTGACTAACAAAATAATGGAAATATGTCGCTGTTTCGATGAAAAATTAGAAGAATTAGCGATGAGTAAAAATAATGGACTTCAACCATGCCGAAATCAAACTGGTAAGTATGTTTGCCAGTTGCTGTTGTTGTTTTTCTTCATTCTTTAGCCTTTTTAAGTACCCTCGAGCAAGGTGCCTAGTAGCCTTAAATTCATTTGTATACACATAAAATATTTCATTTAAGAAACATGTGTAATAGTTTTCTTACTTAAATTATGTTTAGTAGTAAATGTTTAAATGCGACTATTAAAATTGAGGAATATTAGCATTTGTCACGTTTCTGTTGCAGAGATAGAGTGTATGACAAAATTAAAAAACGATTTTGTGAAACACGATGTGCCATGTACATGTTTCAACCCTTGCAGGTATGTTTAGAAATAGAACATGTTTCTGTTAAGTATTTAAACGGTGATGTCATGTCTACAAAATGTTTGGAATATTATAAGAAGAATTTGTCATGATTTTTATTTATTTTCATTACTGGTAGTAGAGTTTGTTGGAGTCTCCAATTACTGCAAAGCCGTGCTCCAATTCAGAAATTAAATTGGGAATAGAATATTAGAAATACAGTCCTACATGTTACCACAATTGTCAGCATAAGTAAAATAACCAGTTGATGGAGATATCCCGGATCTCGGCAAGTGTGAGGTATCCCCCAACTAAACCTTGGGTACAAACCAACCTTGATCAATGTACATGTAAATCGATAAAAAGTGCAACGTGTAAATTATTCAATGGTCGGCACGCAAAAGTACATCATGAAGTTAAAATGATAAAAGTATGTTGAGAAAAAAACCACATATGTCGAGTTTGGATAACATTTATTTTATGGGGGGAGGGGAATAGCGGAGTTTTGACTTTGACTTTTGACTTTTACATGTCTCAAGTTTATATCAGGATAGTTAGAATCTTACAATACCTTTTGGCTAACCAATACTACCAATACATTATAATTTTACTATGTTCATTTCAATATTTACAGTGAAGTTCAATACATTAAATCTGTTAGTCAAAGACAGTGGCCAGACGACGATTATGCGGTAAGATATTGTGTTTTAATAGTAACAACTTAATATGGTAATAGTTCAATGATGGGACTTGGGCGTATTTGATTTACTTCAATCTCATACATTATAATACTTTAAATTTCCGAATGACCCAACCCCAAACCTTGTGCTTTAATACAGGTCTTTTTACACGGTTGCGCTTTTATTGTTATGGAAGTACAATTTTAGTACGTATTTGAAAGTGAAATCATCTTTAATTACACAATGAACAGATTCATATCTAAAACAGAATAAGTAAAAATCAAAAGATTTAACTAACTACAGTGTTGGAGCAATACCTCTAGACGCTTGCAGAAATCATGATCTTAAAGTAGAAAAATGTCGTCTTCTTTTGCCGATTCTTACATTTTTTCATTCATTTTTGCATATAAATCAATTTGACGAGATGAATTAAAGTGTATTTCGGTGGATGAAAAGTCGAGATTTTAGCATTTAGTTATTCAAGTGCTTTGTCCTGTGAATACTGGAGTGGTGCTGGAGGGATCATGGGTTCGAGCTATTCAAATAATCTATTTGAGCCGCGTCATGACAAAACCAACATAATGGGCTTGCGACCAGCATGGATCCAGACCAGCCTGCGCATCCGCGCAGTCTGATCAGGATCCATGCTATTCGCTTTCAGTTTCTCTACTTGTAACAGAGTCGGTAAGCGAACAGCATGGATCCTGATCAGACTGTGCGGATGCGCAGGCTGGTCTGGATCCATGCTGGTCGCCAACGCATCATGTTGGTTTTGTCGTGACGCGGCTCATTTGCCTTTTTTGCTTTTTTAGATGGTGTTACTACAAGACATTTGTAACAAAGACCCGGACGTCTGCGCATCATTGAGAGGGTTCATTGATAATACAGGAAAAATGAAGTAAATTATATCTTATTATCAATAACTTATAGCACTGTCAAATTGTAGCACCCCGATCAAGACAGGGCGAATACAATATTAAAAATTTAAACCCTTAAATTTTATAGTTTAAAACTTTTGGTGAATATAAACTCGGCTCGGTTAAGACTGATTCATTTATCAATTATCATATTATTTATTAAGACATTCGTGTAATTCAAAACATCTTTCGGATATGAAATAAAGTGTCGAAATTTTATTGAATAATAGACGAGAAGCACCGAAGTGAGTATATACTACTTAAGTGAACCGGAAATGCTTTTTTCTGTTACAAATAACTCTGATATTTTGATACATTAAAAAAACTTCTTGAAAGTGTATTTTCAAAAATATATTTAATGTTGTTGTTTCGTTCTTTCCATAGAGGAAACCGGGTGATTGCGTAAGTAATAGTTTTTGTTATACATATGTGTTATCGTTATAACCATTATGGATCATATGGTTATAATGATATAATGCATGCGTAGTTGGATGCTATTAGAATAGGAGTTTCAGTAAGAATGACAAGGAAACTTATACTTTAATGTTAAAAAAAAAGATATAATTTCATGGTATGGAATTATTTTGTCTACTTTTTTTATAGCGTATTTGTACGCCACGGGCCTTTTCGCACTTCTTAAATTATTTCTTGCATTTCTAAAATTTATAACATAAAGTTTTGCTTATACTCTTACATAGCGGGTATGGGAAAGAAAAATCATTTTTGCATGTTCAAAATAAATAAACCTCTGTATGCTTGGTTGTTGCTGGTTTCGGCGTGCACCCTGGCACCGGTTGTCATAGACTCTTTGCTTCATTTCTCGTTCAATTTCATGAATCTTCTGTCATTCTATCTTTTCGTACTGATTCATTCTGTCTTTTTTGTCCCGAGTTCTGTTATGAAATAAAAATATTTTAAACATCAAATCATCAATGCACTAAATAATTATTTATTGATAAATTGTTCTGCATGTATTGCAATTATTACATGTATAAACAAGAGCTGTCGGTAGGACAGCATGCTCGACTATTCTTAGTGCTTGATAGTAAAAAAAATGCCTGATACAGTTACCTCCTCTTGTTTACAGGTTGGGTCATGATGGTGAACAAGTGTGCAAAGTTTCAAAGCCATATGTCAATGGACTTTGAAAATATTTGAACTATTACAAAAACTTTAACGAAAATTCTAAGTCGAAAAAGGGGCATAATTCTGTCAAAATGCTTAATAGAGTTACCTCCTGCTGTCTACAGGTTGGGGTCATGATGTTGAACAAGTGTGCAAAGTTTCAAAGCCATATGTCTATGGACTTTGAAAATATTTGAACTATTACAAAAACTTTAACGAAAATTCTAAGTCGAAAAAGGGGCATAATTCTGTCAAAATGCTTGATAGAGTTACCTCCTCCTGTCTACAGGTTGGGGTCATGATGGTGAACAAGTGTGCAAAGTTTCAAAGCCATATGTCAATGAACTTTGAAAATATTTGAACTATTACAAAAACTTTAACGTAAATTCTAAGTCGAAAAAGGGGCATAATTCTGTCAAAATGCTTGATAGAGTTACCTCCTCCTGTCTACAGGTTGGGGTCATGATGTTGAACAAGTGTGCAAAGTTTCAAAGCCATATGTCAATGGACTTTGAAAATATTTGAACTATTACAAAAACTTTAACGTAAATCCTAAGTCGAAAAAGGGGCATAATTCTGTCAAAATGCTTGATAGAGTTACCTCCTCCTGTCTACAGGTTGGGGTCATGATGGTGAACAAGTGTGCAAAGTTTCAAAGCCATATGTCAATGGACTTTGAAAATATTTGAACTATTACAAAAACTTTAACATAAGTGGTTACGCCGACGCCGACGCCGACGCTCGGGTGACTGCAATAGCTCTACTTATTCTTATCGAATAGTCGAGCTAAAAATGTCAAAAATGTCAAAAGTAAAGTTCATATTGTATATTCTTTTGTAATTCTTCATTTGTTTGACATTGTTATATTACAAATTAGTTTTAATTATTTTCAAGTACATGTACTAGTAAATATACACATACAGATATAATTCTAATAGAGAAAATATACTACAAATGACAAAATCTGTAACGGTGAGGCGCAAATCACATCAGGACTTACAAGACTTGCAAAGGCTATGATTAAAAAAAACATCAACAACATCGTACATTTTGACCAAAGAGTGTATTTTGATACAAGTACATGTTTCTGTTTCAGTAACAATTTCTTGAAGCTGAACATTTATTATGAGGATTTGAACTTTGAAAATCTCACAGAGGTCCCGGAAATAGAGGTATGTTTATGCTTTGAAACCACTAAACATTAACTAATAATTGAGCTGCGTCATGACAAAACCAACATAGTGCGTTTGCGACCAGCATGGATCCAGACCAGCCTGCGCATCCGCGCAGTCTGATCAGGATCCATGCTGTTCGCTATCAGTTTCGCTACTTGTAATAGAGTTTGAAAGCGAACAGCATATGGATCCTGATCAGACTGCGCGGGTGCGCAGGCTGTTCTGGATTCATGCTGGTCGCAAACGCAATACGTTGGTTTTGTCGTGACGCGACTCATATGCCTTATAACATCTTATATTAAGTTATCGGTCTTCGTGGTTATATTCCTGCACATTTGAGCTTGAACTACAACAATGCACTCAAAATTGATATCTATTTCCTATACGACTTTAACTAGTATTTAAAGATTAAAGTAAAAAAAACCTGCGGTTTTGGCTATTCTTTAGGGATTATTTATCTTTCTCTTATTTTACTAAATGTCTTGTAATAAAGCATTGAATTGAATAATCATCACACCGCCAACAGATTGGCCTCTTAAAAGAAATCTAGACAATGTTTATGTTTTATGATTATGCAGAAGGAAAACTCAAAATTCAAATTCAAATGCATTAGGAAAACTAATAATAAGATATTACAAATATTAGCTCTATAGATTATATGTCTTTATTTTGTCAGCTTTTTGAAACGCTGCTCATCGTTGTAGAACTGCATGATTGTTTTCTATAACATGCTTTGAAACGCCATTTTCCTTTTAGATTCAGCAGTTTCTGTCTGACGTGGGCGGAGCTATTGGCTTATGGATAGGTCTGTCAATACTGAGCCTTTGTGAACTTGTTCAACTATTTGTTGAGTTATGTGACTACGGTATGAATAAAACAATTAAGGAAACTAGAAAAGGGCGGCGACAGCGTAGGAAAGCTAGAAGAAACCTCGCTGTTACTTCTGCAAAAAGTACTTCAATAGCACAAGATGAAGATAAGTTGCCAAGGAAATATTTTAGCAATGATTATGACAATAAAAGATTTGAAACCGAATTTCCAGAAGGTCTCCAAAACGGAAATGCTAGAGAATATTCTTACCGGAAGTGACGCATTGAATGAACACTCGTAAGGGGCAGAGGACCTAAAATAACAATTTTGTAGTTCAGTGTGGCAACAAACACTATTCCAAATATTTCAAAATCTGTTAGGCAGATAATCAGTTGCCAGCATTATTCGAGGATATGACATACATTGAAGAAAATAATGGTTTGCATGCATTGTTCCTAAAAAATAATGACTGCCAGCAATATATATTAACCCCTACCCAACAAAAATCACACCTAAAATATACTAATGTGGGCAATCTTCATGAAGGTGCAGCATACTCTAGAATTCGCCCGATTCACTTACACACAGTGCGATCGATGGCAAGTTCAAAAATGACCAATAAAGTGTCTGTTATACGTTTAGATTTTTCACAAAATTTATCTTAAGTTTCTTACTTGTGTGGCGCCAACTGTCAAAGCTTGATTTTTAACTTTTTCACCTCCATTCTGAGAGTCAAAAATACATAAAAGCTACCAAAGTGCTTAGTTTCGGTTAAAAAAACCAAAATACTACTCAATTACAATTCACAAACATGAAAGAATTACAATGACAGAGAAATATTAAAATTTTCAGAACCTTAAAAGCAACATGTCTGAGTTATGAGTAAATTTGACCCGGGGCCATCATTCGAATATGTCCCCTGCCCCCTAACAAACGTATGTACCATACGGTATACTTTGAGAAACAGTATCCGGTACTACGGTCTCATATCGAGTGATCTCCCAGACAGGCCCAAACAATAAACAACCCATTGACACTAAGGTTCTTAACACCCCTTTCCAATGTAATTTATGTTAATGAAAACATTTTTCTTTCATGAAATTCAGGTTATATATAATTGGCAAATTCTCTTATGATGCTCAAAGCATTGATTGTATATCTGTATGTTTCTATGAATTGGAAAACTAATAAATTTTTTGAAAAAATAGTTCAATAGAAATGTTTTAGTCACTATATAGTTAATTAGCTCCTTATAGAATTCGAGACAACTTCGGAATTTGAGAAACAATTAGGATAATTATATACCTCCCCTCCGAAGCACATATATAGTCAACAAAGAACATCAACAACAAGACAAGAACTAAACAACCCCGCACGCACATACATGCGCGCATACACACATGCACACACAATTTCAGTATAAATGAAAGCGCTGAAGGTCAGACACTCACATTGATTTTTCCCATAGACTTACATGAGAAAAAATGGTCCCTAATCCTACCTTAAAACTGAGTTTCGTGCTAAAGAGGTGATTTTTTGTAGCATAATGAAATGCCTGACACATAAAAAATCCTTTTATATAGGGGTAGCCAACCAAATGTTTGGCAAAATGACTTCAAAGAAGATCACCCCCTTTTCAATGAAATTTTCTGCTGATCATAGGACTGACATACTTTTTTATAAATGCAAATATCCAAGTCACAAATTGTCATAGAGACTGAAATATTTCATTTTCTTCAGAAACAATATACTTCTAGTTTCTAAATTAGTTTTCATACTTAAAAATACATGTACCCCATTTTCATCCAGTCACCTCATGTCCAAATGAATCTTACGTTTTTCCCTACACTTTTTCCAGCCAATCGCTGGCCATGTTGCAATGCGAGACACTGACCTGAAAGCATTGAAATATTCGTTCTTTAATTTGATTTATTGATAGGTTTTGATGGCAGACGTATGAATTATAATCAGTGAAGGACCCGAGAAATATAGAGTTAGGTAAGAAAAAAAGAAAATTTTATGCACTAAAAATGCCCGTATTTCAGGAAACATACTAAAATATAAAAAAAAACTAACGCGCAGAATAAAAGTTGTTAACGTAACGTGAATGTTTATCAAAAAAAAATATAATAAGCAGACATGTTTGTTTGTGAGTTCTCGTAAAATTTACCGGAATAACTTAATTCTTGGTTTAATGAACAATATCTTTCTATCATTGATATTTAAACTATATATTAACGACCCATTATTGTAAATAGTAAACAGTATCAAGTTCCAACGAACTACTTTGTATTACGGTAAAACTGAAAATACATGTCAGTTCTTTCATTTCTCTGATTCTTTTTTAATCTCCATAGAACATGCAAATGTCTTTCAAATTAATTCTTAAGAGAGACTTTTTAGTAAATAACTCAATATGTATGTTTTACTATTTTGCAATGGCAAGTAAACATGACACTTGACACGGAACACGTTGTTTTTTTTTTCCTGGTATTGCGTTTTATCATAATAACATTTTAGCCGCGTCACGACAAAACCAACGTAATGCGTGTGCGAACAGCATGGATCCAGAGCAGCCTGCGCGTTCGCGCAGTCTGATCAGGATCCATGCTGTTTACTATCAGTTTCTCTATTTGTAATAGAGTTTGTAAGCGAACAGCATGGATCCTGATCAGAATGCGCGGATGCACAGGCTGGTCTGGATCCATGCTGGTCGCAAGCGCATTATGTTGATTTTGTCGTGACGCGGCTCATTTGTATTTGTGCTTTGTTAGCCTAATCACATTCCTTCAAAGGGTCACTAGCGTGTGGAGTTCACATTTCTTTTCTTTTTAATGACAATGTTATGGTCCTTGACTTAGTGATTGAAACGTCGCCAAATGACCTTTATTGTGTCGGTGTGACGTAAAACCCTATCAAACAAAAAACCTTAGTGTGGGATTTTTTTTTTATTTGAAATAGCAACAAAAGTTTACATGACAAGATCAGAACCACAGGGTGGATCCATTAACCTACCAGACCGTTCTTTTGATGTCTCCCTCTTGTCGGGTCATACGTCATTTAGAACGTTTCTTTTTTTTGCATAAACATTAACTGTTTTGTTTAAAATTTGAACCGATCTCACTAAATCTTTGTGAAAATTGACGTCTGTCGTCTCTGACAGTCCATTTAAAAGCTCGGTCAATTTGGCAAAATTATTGGTTCAGGTTTGGCATTTTACCACTTAAACAGATCATTCTGGTGCTTTTGAAAATCACCGTAGAAACTAACCCGTGCTCTGAACAAGACCCTTAGTCTATGACAGAATGTTAGGGAAGTTTGTTACATATACATTTGTATATATATCAATTAACGTCATATGAGTAAGTAACAGTATTTGCATGCGTTATATTTCATTCTAACACGCTTCAAAATTCCTACTTTCGAACAGGTACATTATTACACGGTACACGTACAGCATGAAACGGAATGCTTACACGTCATAGGACGTCAATGAACCCAATGACGTCAGTAAAATTACTTCTACGCTCAATGTACTTCAATATGTTTTTATCAATTTTCCTTTACATTAGAATGGTAGAAAGAAAATAGATATTAATTTATTTTATTCATTAATTTTACTTGCACTTAAGTATAATAATGCACGTTTCATCAATGTGCTTTGTAATGAATCACCCAGACCTATCGGTCTTCGTAATGACATTCCTATGCATTTGAACACGAACCGTGCATTATTCTAACAAAACATTCTATTTATATCTAGATCTATTCCCTAATTTAAATTGATGACACAAAATACAGCAGATTTTATCCTGCAAATTAAGGCATACATGAAGCAAGCAATAATGCTGTTGTATTTCTACATTGCCATACGGTCAGAATCGCAGATATTTTTCAGCATACCTGACAGAGGCGTGCCAAAACTATCGCCAACACGAGCACAACGAAAATACAAGCCTTATTATTCCATACAGAAGAACAGCAATGTTGCGCAATGAAAACTAAAATAATATTGAATACAGAGACTATAAATATAAATTCACTCTGTTTCGCTAATGACAGAGCAATATACACTTTAACAATCATGGGTTGAAATTATTTCAACAATGGTTTTAATTGTAACCCGGTAATTTGGTGAGATTTAAGTGTCTGTTAACATAAATATGATAGGTAATTTCTTTAGAATTACTGCATGTATTTTAATCTTAATGTCAGCAACAGTTAACTGGACTGAAGGGCTAATTATACCCATAATAAGGCGGAAGTCAAGAAGTCAAAAATTTTAGGAGCATCACACTTAATAACATTTTGTCGAAAATTTACTCAAAACTCTTAGTAAGTAGGTTAACTAAATGGGCCAAAAAGCATGAAAAATTAATAGACAATCAATACGGGTTTCAACAGAATAAATCCACTATCGATTGTATTTTTGTACTCTATTCACTTATTGCAAAAACTATATCAAATAAAGAAAAATTGTTCGTTGCTTTTCTCGACTGGGAAAAGATGTTTGATAGAATTGACCGTGTACTACTATGGCAAAAACTTTTGAATGCTAATGTAAGTTCTAAATTTATTGTTGCCTTAAGGTCTATGTATACCTCTGTTAAATCTTCCGTTCGTTATAATAATGTCAAGTCAACTCCAATAAATTCATACGTTGGAGTTAAACAGGGAGACCCGTCAAGCAGTTTATTGTGTCTATTTTCCCTTAATGATATTTTGGAAAGTACACGGAATATTTTAGACGGAATAATTAATCTTGGTGATATGCAAATATTTCTATTATTGTTCGCAGATGACGCTGCGATTTTTTCTAAAATCCCTAAAACATTACAATCATTATTAAACGATATAGAATTATACTGTAATAATTACAATTTGAAACTTAATGTTAATAAAACAAAAATAATGATTTTTGAAAACGGTCGTCACACAAATTATGATTTTTACTTATATAACACAAAAATCGAAGTTGTCAAATCCTTTAAATATGTAGGTGTACATCTATTCAAAAACGGACAATGGAATAGAACGCAGGAACGTATAGCACAACATGCGTCTTTCGCTCCTCATAATTTGTTTATTATCTTTAATCAAGTAGATTTACCCGTTTCACAGCAAATAAAATTGTTTGATTCTCTCGTATCATCAACTTTAAATTACGCGGCGGAGGTATGGGGATCACACATCACACCCGCTGTCGAAGTTATTCATTGTAAATTTTGTAGAAAAATTTTAGGAACTAAATTATCCACAAACCGAGAAGCGTTATATGGCGAACTTGGTCGAACACCTATGCATATTCAACGGAAAATAATTATGATTAAATATTGGATTAAGTTATTATCGCTTCAAGAAAGTACTATCCTTTTTAAAACATATTCTATGTTAATAATTGATGCTGACAATGGACAATCTTATAATGGTAAAAATTGGGCTTACACTATTAAACAAATATTAGATGAATCTGGATTAATATTTGTATGGGAAAACCAATATAGCATACAGGTAGATTTTAAAGCAATTAAATTCAGAATTCTTAGTTTGTATTACGAACAATGGTATACCTTGATAAATAATTCACCTCGTCTTGATACATACAGTTTATTTAAACATACTTTAATTTAGAAAAATACTTAAGTGTAATTAAAGAACCAAAGTATAGAATAGCCTTATCTAGATTCAGAACATCGTCACACAATTTAGCTATAGAATATGGAAGATATCGTAATATTCCAAGAAATGAACGTTTTTGTGAAAATTGTCAATTTAATCAAATAGGGAATGAATATCATTTTTTACTTATTTGCCCGAAGTTCTCCGATTTGAGAAAAAAGTATCTTAAACGGTATTACTACACATGGCCGACTAAGCAAAAGTTTATCAATTTAATGTCTGAATCATCGTTAACTGTAATTAATGGTTTAAGCAAATTTATATATCATGCTAACACTTTAAGAAATTAATCCTATCAAATGTGATCTGTATTTTATTCATATGATTGTAAGGCTCTTCTGAAAAAATCCATGTACTTGTGTTGTTTGTGTTTATATATTTTGTACTTGCTATAAACATGTATTTGTTTAATGCAATAAAATTTTGAAGTTGAAGTTAACGTTAATACGTAACTTGTATAGAAACAGTTACATGTCTGCGGCGTTTAACTCCCGGAAGGCAGTTTTGCGTATTTGTGAAAATTATCGATAAAAAGGACTAAAAAGAAGGTGCGAAACAAGCTTATGTGAAAGGAACAATACAACAATGGTAATGAAAACACATTTCTATTTCGACACTAAGTGATGATTGTTACACAATAGAACGGTTTATCAACTATTTTTATACGCCAATGTAGTTAGAAGTATAAGTTCTGGTCAGATAAAGAAAAAACAACACGATTTTGTTTTCATCATATTTAAAGTGACCGTCATAGTTTAATATAAACAGATAAAGACGAATATACTGGATAACTTATATTATTAAAATTATCATTTTGTGTGACAGTGTTTGCTAAAAACGTTTACTAGAGAAAAAAAACTTGACTGTTTTATTAGTCTACATAAATATCAAAGTTCTTGAAAAAAATATCTGTTTTAATAAAACAATTTATTATCTTTCGGGCTCACTTTGACAAAAATATGGATGGTGTTGAATTTTACCGCGGTCACAGGAGTGACGTTTCTCGGTCACGGAATAATTCTTTGAGATATGATGAGATCGGAGAAATAAATTCCTCCAAAGATTATCATAACAAGATAAATTATTGTCATTTTTACAATGGCTCTAACTTTAATAATGCCAGCGTCATGTATGGAAATTCTGGAAACGAAACAGCATACAAAGTAAGTTAAATTTGTTTTTTTCTTATACACGTTAACTTAAAACATTACCCTTCTTCTATTTGGTTGGCGACTTAAATTATTTTAGGACATTTTTCATTTTTGTTTATTTCCATTTCTACTTTGAATATTTTCCTTATAAAAAAAAACGCAGAAGATATTCACTTCAAACTTGAAAAATGCTTATTTACTGACAAAATGCAATCTTATTTCGTAGGACAGGTTACAATGAAATTCATTTGTTATACAATCGTAATTTGTATCCCTTTTCACAGATATATATCCATGCCTTTTTTGGCTTGGAATATAAAGTTTAAGTTTTAACATGAAATGATTTTTTTTCTGATGCGATTACAATTACTATAGATGCTATTGAATTTTTACTTAAATGACACCCCGGTCCTAAAATAACTTATCTTCAATTATTTTTACAGACTGAGCGAGAGGTAGAAAATACTTCCGGCAGCATAAAATCGCTTGATTCTACCGGCAAACAGAAGAGTTTTCGACGCCTCATTACCAGGTTTGCCGAGAAAACATCGATGCAAGGTGTCCCTTACATTAATAATGCAAAGTTTTGGTGGGCAAGACTAATTTGGTGTTTTATGTTGCTTGTTGCCATTGTCGCAATGTCTTTGCACCTTTGGTATCTTATTAACCAATACACAGACTATCCTGTACAGACAAAAATTTCGTTAGGATTCCAGACTCTGAAATTTCCCGAGATTACTTTTTGTAACGCAAATGTCATGCACAAAGGGCATTTAGACAAATACGACGGAGCTGAAAAGTTAAAAGAGCTTCTTGAAAACTTGCATCCAGAAAACCTTGTACCTGATCAGTATGATCCCAGCTATAATCCACACGCACCGAAAAGCCCACCTCCAGATAATGAACAAGGCGGTGATTACCTGGGAAAGGACGGACCTTCACAAGGAGGGTCGAATTTACCAGGGGGTCCGCAAAGCGGTAGTGATTCTGATTCTCAAAAAACACCATCTGTAAGTGTGTAATCATTTATTTTCATATCTGTAGATAATCTTTTTATCATAAATCAACATATTTTTAAATACACTACATTGCATATATTGCATCCGAGCCTGCAACATTTTCAATTTTGTTGTGTTGGACTTTCTTTAGGGATTCTGTTTTACTCTATTTTATAAACAAATCTGTTATTATCTAGAATTCTGTGAAGCAATACGATCCATACTGCACTGGCACATGCAGTGTTTTAATTCTCGTCATGTTGTGGCTGATTTTCTTGCTCACATTCAATCTTATAAGATTTTCCTTTATTATGTTGCTAAACATCTACTTTTCCCCCGCCGTACACCGTCCGCCGTATCCTCTTGAGCATTTTGCCTCATTCTGCTCGATGCCCTACTGCCATCTTTACCGGTGGACCAGCAGTTTTACTGGGCGTTTATCGATTGCCGTCGTTGTGTACTCCTATGATTTATATTTTCATTTTGTGTTCGACACAAGCTTGACTACCACGTGTTTTTCATTTATCCAAATACAAACAATGTAAATCGAATGCACACAAGACATATCTTTCCGTTCTTCATGCACAACGCTGTGTGATTTAAAGTTTAATGATTTTGAGAGTGTTATAACAATAATAATGAAGACGAAGAAGATGATAATTTGTTCTAGAATTATTTATAATCTGCTTTATAAAAATATTGTCAAATCAGATCATGTATCTTAGGCTTACCAATAACATCTATAGATAATCCTTTTACCTAATATATTAGTAATACTAAATGCTTCAAATGTATCTTGAAAATAATTTATTGTTATGCATTCCTTCCATTATGGATCAAGGTCCACTTTAAAGAAAATAAATATGTAATCGTTATCTTTTTAACTTGTTTTTTAACTTGTTATATTCTAGAATCAATTCAATTTTTATTCAACAGAGAGGCAAACGTTTTATTGAGAAGTACAAAACGTTCAATAAAACTCTGTTTGACGGCAAAGAACGTCCTAACCTTCGAGAAAACGAGCCGAAAGATAAACATGCTTTCGATGGAGAACTTGATCACAGGACAGAGATTGAAGAATTCTTTAAATGGCTGTTTATGTCAATTAACAAGTAAGTTGCAAAAAGTTTTTAAATAACCACGTAAAAAGTCGTTTATAAACGTTATGTGCATAGATAAACAATATTCATACATGGCGTTTAGAAATATCATTGCCAGCATAGCGTAGTTAAGAAAAATGAATTTGTATATATTAATAGTTCTATTAATCTATAATTACGTGGAAATGTAAACGTTTATTTGCATTTATACTGTCGATGTTATTTCACCACGCTGTATTGTGATTTAACCTTTGACCGCCCCACAAAAAGTATTACTCTACCAGCCAGCTCTTCAGTTAAATATTTGCATGCTCTGTGATCAATTGGTCACGTGCATGCCAGACGACCTTAAGTGTTTTTAGTAAATTTATAAATACGTTTAAAAGTAAATAGAACATTATTTATTAGATTTTTATCATTTTTTTTACAAACTGACATTACAAATGACAATCCTGTTGGTGGTGGTACAGATTTGATAAATCGCATGCCAAGGGGTATCCCAAAGTCAATTCTGATTGTCATATATATCTGTAATCATTTAGTAATCTTGTGTAATTTCTTAAAATGCTAGGCGAGAAATGTCAATGAGGACAAAATGAAAAATAAGCCCAGAGGGAACTAAATATAATTTCTGCGATATTAATACAATATAATGTTTTTTGTTTTCAGACAGGAGAGAGCTGAACTAGGCCACAATATATCAGATATGCTGATCAGCTGTACGTTTAATGGAAGAATGTGCTCTTCAAAGTAAGACCTTTTTATGTGTTAAGCAAATATCCTCTCTTCTTACCCCATCCTTGCCTATTTTGGCAAAATATTATTCCAAACTCTTCACGTTAAAACTCCAACAAGCAAAATCAATGTTGCTTCTATGCGTTCTTACAAATGACTGTAAAGAAGCAAGTTGTTACTCGGCTAGTGATAAATAGAATATAATATTCTTTACTATTTGCTTGAATAGTGATATATTGAACAAGTTGTATAAAATAATATAATGCCCGCCAGAGGCTTTCATAATATGAGCCGCGTAACGACAAAACCAACATAATGGGTTTGCGACCAGCCTGGGTCCAGACCAGCATAGATCCAGACCAGCCTGCGCATCCGCGCAGTCTGATCAGGATCTATGCTGTTCGCTATCAGTTTCTCTTCTTGTTATAGACTTTGTAAGCGAACAGCATGGATCCTGATCAGACTGCGCGGATGCGCAGGCTGGTCTGGACCCATGCTGGTCGCAAACGCACTATGTTGTTTTGTCATGACGCGGCTCATATGATTTTATTCAACTCGTTCAATTGAACCTACATACATTGAGTATCCTCTATATTCAAAATGCCAAGCTATACTGAATTTATCGTATAAATTCTTTTAACAATTTTTTTTGCAGTATGTTCAAACTACATCAGACGACAGAATATGGTAATTGCTGGTCAATTAGCTCTGACAAATTTAAAGTGAAACATCCTGGACCATCTGGAGGTATACCTTTGTTTTTGTCATAAATTGCATTTCTACATTTTGTTGATAAAATGTGACATGATATGTAAATAATATGAAGAAAGGCGTGTAAGCTTGACTATTTTGTACTCATTTGTACGTGGATTTCGGTGTAATATTTGGGCACTGCACGTGCAACTTCATGTATACATGCATGTTATTAACCACTGTAGGGGTTTTATTTCCATTGTCAAAGGGCCACAACTCTAGCATGGATTGCGACTGCATCATCACGATTTGTTTACATTTTGTTACTGAATATGTAATCATTTGTAGTCAAATGATAAGTGAAAGTTACTCTCAAAGTTCCATAAATACTGTCATAGATTTTGATTGTTTTACAGTCTTCTGCGAATTGAGAAAATTCCAGTGCAAAACCATTCCTCACAAATACTTACAAAAGATAAACGGGAGCTATGGAATTTATATTAGCGTATTAACTGTTATTTTCAGGGCTAACAATGGTGTTTTATCTTGAAACTGAGGAGTATTTAAAAGGTCTGACGACAGGATATGGTGCTAAGATTCAGATACATGAGCAACGTACATATCCTTTCCCTGCAGAAGAAGGGCTGTTTATTCCAGCTTCCATGGAGACAAATATTGGCCTAAGAATGGTAAATTTGTTTACATGTTATTTAAAGGAAAATCTTTTTATGATATCCCTCCTACGTGTATGAACTGAAAAAATAAATACTTGTCCTTTTGGAAAAGAAGTTAGTGTTTGATAAAGTGACACAAAGTGATAATACACATTAAAAAGCACATTATGCATCATGATTTTTTCCAATTCTTTAGAAATGTCAAACATGTGTTTAATAATGTTTAATAATTGATTACGAGCATGCAGGATAAAAGCAGCGCACCGTGTGTTTGCCAATTACATGTAATATATAAGTAACACATTATTTTGTTATTGAACAGAGATCAATTTCACGAGAAAACGGATTATATGGAAACTGTAATAACGGGCTGGAGCTGGAGAAATCTACACGGTATAAATATACTAGATCGGTAAGTATAGGATAATCTTTGACCAGACATCCAGCTTTTTAGACCAAACGCTCGGCAGCAATTGTAACATCTCGGCTATTGTTGACAATAACCTCAGACTTAATACGAAAGTACGAAAGTACGAAAGTAGTTATACCACGTGTTTTAAGATGTAAACAAAATCATTGTAATTTGCTATACTGTGTAAATGTATATTTCTGACATCCAATATGGTAAATGAAGTTTATTTCAGTATAAAGACGTTTGAATATCTTGATACGGAAAGTGACGAAATATGCCGATATTTTGCAAACAAATGATAATTGTTTTACCTTATATAAAGCATTGCAAGATTAAAGTATTGTATTAATGTAGTACAAATATATTTGATACAGACTATGAAATCCACCTTATAACCTACGTTAAAGATCTCTCAACATCCATGTAGAATGTCACTCATCATTTTTATATTTGCAGTTAAGATTTCTTTATCGAACAAAATTCTGTACATTTTCATGACGAATGTTTGAATGAGTTTGAACGAGTTTAAAAGGTTTATTTTATTTAATTGATCCAAAATTACGGGTATTTTAGGCATGCCAGTACCTTTGTTTGACTGACGAAATAATTGACAAATGCGGCTGCTTTGACGAAAGGTTGGAGGAAATGGCGTTGAGTAGAAATGATGAGCTCCGACCTTGTCGAAGTCAGACTGGCAAGTATATTTAAAATCTATTTATATATCCTATTCATATGGGATCCTAAACCAAATTGAATTCAATAATAAAATAATACGCACTTTAAAATGTTTTAAAGTAAATTGGTCACTATATATAGAACGTTTGTTATACCATAATTAATTACATGCATGTTAAAAGTATTTAGTATCATTCATAGTAACCCACCCCGAAAGAATTATATTTGGATGTTGCTGGTAAGTGTGAGATACATGATTTATTTTACATGTCTATACATGTACATAGCAGATAATAAACTGTTTTAGAACCAAAAGGAAATATTACTTACATGTATAAATTGTTCACACTATATCACTTATAACTTTCAACAGTTTTCCCTTAGTATTGTTTCACTACAATATCTAAATAATATGGTTGTTTTTGGAATTTTTTTATCAATACTTGTATAAAATCATGGAAAATGTTCACAACATAGACCAATCCACTTTTACAGTAGATGTATCTTTTTTAGTGATTATTTCATTTGTATTGCAGAGCTTAAGTGTATGGCAAAATTAAAACAAGATTTTGTTGAAAATGAAGTTGCATGTACATGTTTCAATCCTTGTAGGTAAGTTTCAATATTGTATTTAAATCATTCTTAATAATAATGAACTCAGTTATTTCTATCAAGAACGTTACTTAATTTTTAGCTCGACTATTCGATAAGAATAAGTAGAGTTATTGTAGTCACCCGAGCGTCGGCGCCTGCGTCGGCGTCGGCGTAACCACTTATGTTAAAGTTTTTATAATACCTCAAATATTTTCAAAGTCCATTGACTTATGGCTTTGAAACTTTGCACACTTGTTAACCATCATGACCCCAACCTGTAGACAGAAGGAGGTAACTCGATCAAGCATTTTGACAGAATTATGCCCCTTTTTCGACTTAGAATTTACGTTACAGTTTTTGTAATACCTCAAATATTTTCATAGTCCATTGACATATGGCCTTAAAACTTTGCATGTACTTGTTGACCATCATGACCCCAAACCTGTAAACAGGAGGAGGTAACTCTATCAAGCATTTTGACATAATTATGCCTTTTTCGAAATTAGAATTTACGTTAAAGTTTTGTAATACCTCAAATATTTCAAAATTTCATTGAAATAAGGCTTTGAAACATGTTGAAATTTTATATTTTTTTTGGGGAAAAAAATTTTCCCAAGGTAAAACCAGGAAAAGGGAAAAAAATTTTTTTTAAAAGGGCCACCCCAAAAATTCCCGGCTTTTTTACCGCAGTCGTTTTTTTTGGTTTTAAAAAATTTAAAATTTTTCTGAAAAAAAAAAGAAAAAAAAAAATAAAAGATATTCCCCTTTTTAAAAGAAGGAATTTTTTCGTAGAGTTTTTTAAACCCCCCCCGAAAACGGGACTATAAGGTGGGGGGCGTTTTTGGGGAAAAGGGGTTTTTTTTCCGAAAAATTTGTCTTCCCAAAAAAACCCCCAAAAAAAATTTTTAAAAAATAAAAACAAAAAAAAAAAAAAACAAAAATTTTTTTTATTTTTAAAAGCAATACAAAAGTTTAAAAAAGGGGGAGAGACAAAAAGGGGGGAAGCACAATTTCCCAAAAAAAAAAAAAAAAAAAAAAAAAATAAAAAAAAAAAAAAAAAAAAAAAAAAACCAAAACAAAAAAAAAAAAAAAAAAAACCACCCAAAAAAAAAAAAACCCAAAAAAAAAAAAAAACCCAAAAGGGGTTGTACGAATTAATGCCACATTTTTAAGTTCAGGTGAGATCACAAAAGAAATTTAACTTCTGGGTTTTTTGGGCCCACTATAAAACTTTTCCCTTAAACAAGCAAAAAAAATTAAATCTTCAAAAAAAAAAATAACTGGACATTTTCATTAAAACCCCCTTATAGAATTTTAGGTACTCGTCGCTCCCGTGCAAAGTAGTTTCAGTTGAAAATTTAAACAAAAAACAAGATTTTTCATTATACTTGGACGTTCACTAATACGCCACTCTCCATTAACTCGTTAAAACTCGGCAATACCCGCCACTTTCCGTAAGCATCGGCAGAAACATACTAATGTTTAAGTCGATATCAAATGTGAAGGGTACCTAACGAAGTTGCCGGAATGTGACGGCTTTGGATAGGGCATATTATAGAAACTCTTATTGACAATGTGCTATTTTTCAGATGATATTACTGCAAGGAATATGCGACAAAGACCCGGATGAATGCGTTTTATTGAGAACATTTGTTGATAATCCAGTAAAAATGAAGTAAATAACTTTTTTTATTTGATGATATAGATATTAATGAAATACCAGTATAGCAGTATATCAAATTGATAAACATGTATATGTACTCCTAGATACTTTTCTAACTGATTATAGACTGTAAAACATCATTTTTTAAACCTAGAGATTTTCGTTTAATATGTCTTTGTACATGGCCGTACGAAGCAAATGGATAATAATATTGAGACAATAAAATTTTAATGATAACTCATTTTTATGGCTTTTTTTCCAGAAACTAGAATCAACTTTTACGTCAAGTGTAATATTAAAATGCTTTACACAAGAGATCATATTTAGAAAGTATCAAAGTTATCCAATGCAAATTTGCTAAAAAGTTGCCCCGTACCTAAGTGTTGTTATATTTTTCTTGTCCTTCGGGATCATTGATTCCAGCAATTTCAAGTGTTAGAAATTGAATTCCGCTCAAGCCGATGCTAGGGGGAGTGATAAATGTTGCATTTTTCATTCTCCCTCATGTATAGACTCAATCAAACCGAGTTTTCAATTTTCATGTGATGTTGTTGTGATTAATGCTTCCGAAGGATCACCCTTTGCCATGTTTACTATCAAAATATGACACCATTTTAAAAAGGACGATAATCGAAAAATGTCACTTTTTAATTTTTTTGCTTATGTCTATTTCTAAACAACTATATAAATGTTACCTATTCAAACTTGAAAATTTTGTTCAGTAACAAAATTGGAATGCATTTCTTAAGAGCAGATAACTAGTTGACATTTTTCTAAATCATTTGCAAAATTCCAACAGCTTTTTTAAAACGTTATTCACGATTTTTGGACGAGTATGTATGTATGGTGATGCATGTATATCTACATTTTTCTATTTTAGTAAAAACTTCTTGAAGCTTAATATATATTATGAAGATCTGAACTATGAGAATCTCACAGAAGTTCCGGAAATAGAGGTAAAATTTGGCTTTTACAGATGATGTAGCATTATTGCTAATACTTAGATTGATGACGTCATTTATCAAGAAATGTTTTGACATTATTTGCAACTTAGATCTTTGTGTAAAAGCATTTCTTAACTTTGATATGACTTTTATTGGCAAACAAAGATTATTAACTAAAAATAGAAAATAAGAATTGTGTATGAAAAATCAAACTTCATAGGAATCATGTTCTAAAATGTTTCTTTAGCCGATAATGAACGATGTCATTGACGTAGATATTTTTTATCGGGGCATCGGATCTTCAATTCGTAGACGTTCACTATTATGTAAAAGTAGGTTTTGTGATCAGCAAACGTGTTTATATTGATACATTGTATCTCCAATTAGTAGGTTTAGGTTCACTGAACAGTGTTGTTATATTTTTCTGGTCCTTTGGAATCATTGATTCCGGCTCTTTAAAGTGTTGAAAATTGAGTACCGCTCAAGCCGGTGCTAGGGGACACCTTTTCGTTATCCCTCATGTACCGAGTCTGGAATTTTCATGTTATATTATGCAATTAATGCGCTTCGGAGGGATCACACTTTTTCCAGTGTTTTAATTAAAGGCACATTAAGCCTATAAAAATAATTTATTAGATCTCCTTTTTTTGAGGAGGACACGTGTCAAATCATGTTTTGATATCGGATTTAAAGCATATTGGATGATCTTCATCGGAATGAAAATATTTTGGTCATAAAAGTAGCAAAATATAAACAAATGGGCTTTTGATAAGATACTAGAATTTGATTTTTTGATATTACATTTTACATTTTCCTATAGCTTTTGGGTGGTGCTCAACATTGCCGAGCTGTATATTATACATAATACATTGTATGTTTGAGGTAAACTTTGTAAATGCCATTTTACTTTCAGGTTCAGCAGTTTCTTTCTGACGTGGGCGGAGCTATTGGTTTATGGATAGGTCTGTCAATACTGAGCCTTTGTGAACTTGTCCAACTATTTGTTGAGTTATGTGATTACGGTATACATAAAACAATTAAGGAAAAAAGAAAAGGAAGAAGACAACGTCGGAAAGGTAAAAGAAACCTTGCCAACGGTACTTCAAAACATCGAAATGATTGGTCAGGAAACAATTTTGACCCGGACACAATTATACCTCCAGTCGATTTGCCAAAAAGACAGCCAAACGATAGCTCCAAAGAATATTCGTACACCGGAAGTGACGTCATGTATGACCGTCCGCGTACGGAAATTGATAACAAACCACAGTACTCATATTTAAGGCACTGATGATATGGTATCTTAAGTAGCGTTCCACGTCTTTGACAATGATATTGTAGTTCTATTTGAATGGACATCTCAATTTACTTTTGTAGTTCATTTGAAAGAAAAATTTGGATCGTGTGTATACATTTTTAAAAAGGACACATAAATCATCTATTAACATTTTAAACGTCAAAATCAATCTTACAAGCCGCTTTTGTTCTTAGTAATAGATGTTGTTAATACAGTTTTGTATATAATCTGAGCAAATCGCAAAACATATAATGTTTTTATCGTCATATTACTTTTAAATGTTACTTTGTTTTATCGATAAATCGCTTTATAGCTAAACGTTGTTAGTCGTTTGTTTTGTGTGAATGTTGACGTCATATTTTCATAAAAAATATAGCTAGAAACCTTATTTTGTGAAAGCTGAAAATTTATTTGCATGCAACTACAATCGTCATAGTCTTGCTTTTCAACTAAAGTTTTAAACATTATTAATTGCCCGAATTTATACTTGAATACATATACACATATAGAATTATACATTTACAGATTTATAATGCAAATCAAATCATATATTCAAATTAAAACGAAAGCTTATCTGATAAGATTGTTCTCAAATAAGTTTATTTATGAAACATGTCGAGTTTCGTGCTGATTGGATATGAGGGCATTTGAAAAAGAATATGAGAATATGAAGTATAGATATAAGAGATATAAATATATTTATCGATAAAAACATATTCAATCAATAAAGCCTTTAACTTATTGCTTGAAATAAATGGCAAAAACTAAGTAAGCATATCAAGGTACACTAAGGAGTAAAGACAAAAGAAAAAGAACGTTGTGATATTTTTTTTTAAATTTTTTAGACACTATCTATTTGGTTTTAGTATGGTTAATATAAGGGACTTTAATTACAAAATATCCATGTACATGTGAAACAGTTTAGCAGTGTACAATGTGATTCACAACACCCCTTGGCATAGTCCTATAAATATGACGTCGCTTTGAAATATTTTTGCTTCTGGACAAAGCAACGTCATTCCGAAATTGCTCAAAAACCCATAGCATGTTCCGCCAGAAAATCGGGCGGAACGAAAAAGAATAAAGACAGCGTGTATTTACATAAGTTTTGATCTATTTATGAACAAAACTAAAAAATAAATTCCTTATGTTAAAATAATTAAACTGTCACATCCGAAAAATCATGATTAAATCCTCTCATGTATTTAGATTCCTTTACAGCCGATAAAAAAATGGCGGCCATACAGTGCGCGAAATCTGATTGGCTAATTCAAATGCAAGCGTTTCACTGAGTCAGAACTTTCTAACGGAATATTTTTAACGAAATAATTGCCGATGCACCGTCAGTGTGTTCGAATATATTTTTCCGTTCAAAAATTTGGAATCAATCTGTAAAGCACCTTGCTTAACCAGTATGGCTGATAGACAAAAATAGGTTGATGTTTATATTTTATTTTAGATTGATAAGTACATTGTTTGAAAGTTTTTGTGTATGATTGAGCATGAAATTGAAAGAAAAGAAGATATAACTTCACCGTGGCCGAGGGGTTTGCACGTTCCTTTAGGAAGCGAGAGGTCTGAGTTCAAATCCTAGTTAAGGCATTTCATTTTTTTTCAAATTGTTTAAGTCAAATAAACATTGAATTGAATATCAGTGTTGCAGTTAGTCTTATAGCCAATTTACTACAGTTAGAACACTGGAAAGCATTGGTGGCACTATACAAAAACAAATTGGTTATAATCTCACAACCTTCACCTTTCTGACATTCTGAGACCCAAACAAATTCAGCGCCTTCTGTGCTTTGATTTATGATGCTATGCGTTTTTGAGCAATAACTATATGACGTCAGGCTTGACCGACATAAACAATAACACGCCTGTAGCGTCTAATATATTGGACTACCCTTGGCAGCGACTTGTCCACAGTTCCCAATACAACAATTGTTAATAGAACAATCATTTTGTTATCCTATATAAATCCATTTTATCAAAGACAAGATTCATTTTGATTGCATTATTAATCTAATCCATAATGCATCATATGTGTACGTGTCTATTATTTGAAAACCTTACAAGAGATATATATAAACATTTATAGTCTTGAAAAGACTGAGACGTAAAACTATAAAAGAAAACTAATAAATCTTTTAGTAATAGCAGTTTTAAAAAACTTAAAACTCTTAAAAAATCAAATTTTATCTAAACATTCATAACTTTCTATATATTACTGAAAGCTCTTTTTCTTCTGATTTACTTAAATAGCATCGAACTGGCGCGTAAGCATGACGGCATATTAAAGCGATATCACCTTCCAAAAAGTACCCGCTTTTGTATTTCATCTGCCTCTTTTTAGAATTATATGGCACTAGTTGTTTTGCAAATGTCTAAGGTATACCAACTGCTTCAAATGTGCTTTTGTATTTATTAAATTATTATCGACGAAACACACAAAGTCGCCCTCAAAAAGGTCGTCATCCTCGCAGATGATCTTAAAAAGTAGAAGTATTTGTAATGCTGGTTAAAGCATAATACCATAGCAGGTGTATGGGTTTATTCGTTTCTTTTAATTTGGTTTGCAATAAAACATTTTTGTCCGTTAACTGACCGTGTTACCCATGTTACTCGTTTAAGAAATTTTTAAGGTTAGTAATAAGAAAAATATACTAATTACAATCATTATCAATGATGTTGTCGACTCGATCTAGCTGTTAATTGATGATTATTGCCTCAGGTCACTGATCACTATGCCAGTTTTATGGATTAATGATTTATATTAAGAACTTCATTTTGGCCAATTAAGGTTGAATCATTAAGTTTTGACAGAAAATGCATAAAGTTGTTAAATGCAGCCATATAATCGTCACGGGAAAGTAAAATCCCGGTCGTTTATCGTACAAGACAGGGAGTCGTTTAATGCAGTGACTTTAAATAGAAATTGGCATTTAGCGGTTTTATATTAAAAAGGATTATGTGTGGTATGAAGTCGTTAAATCCAATGACCTATTCAGGCAAGTTCGACTGTATTTTGAAGTTCGAAAAATATTTTTTTTTGTTTATGTCATAAACAGTTTGAAAAAAAAATTCTACGTCGTCTGCATTTTATTATGAACTAAAATAACTTATTAAGTTTTGTTTAGAGTTTAGCACAAATAAAAATCTGTTGCCAGTCGACAATTTATCGTCCCTGCAAATACATATTAGCTGAAAAAATACTTATTTAAGATAATTATATACTGAATAGTACTTCCTGGGTAAAAAGATGTGTACTCATCTGCTTTGATAAAAAATATTTTCTAAAAAATTGCAACATTAATTTAACAGAAGACAGAACACATTTAGCACGCTTATGTTATATAAACTATGTTTTACCTCAGGCAGTTTGAAAAATTTATTATACTACATAAATACTGTATGAAAGTTATATCATTTCTTTAGAATTACGCAATCATATTGTGATGTCCCTCAACGGCAATGTCTGTGGCGTGTTTTCTGTTTAAAGGTGGGACTTTTAGTATTCATGGAGTCTTGCTAAAACATCTTTAAGGTAAAAAAGAAAATTAAGTAATGGAAGAAATGAAAGGAGTTAAATTTTACCGGGGGCGTAAGAGTGATAGTTCTCTACCACGGAGTAATTGTGAAAGATACAACGAAATCGGAGGATTAAACTCACCCATAGATAATCGCACCAAGATAAATGATTATCATTTTTACACTGGTTCCAATTTCGACAATTCAAGTGTCATGCAAGAAGATGCTGGAAAGAAATCAGCGCACAAAGTAAGTTGATAAATAAATAGGAAGAAATCAGCACGAAAAATAAGGTAATCAACCAATAAATAAATAAATAAATAAATAAATAAATAAATAAATAAATAAATAAATAAATAAATAAATAAATAAATAATATTTCTCATATTAATATTTATTTTGTTTCTTCACGGTCAAGTAGCTTATATACATGTACAATGTACATAAATGGAAAATATGTATCATCGCCTGTGTAATGACATAGGTGCTCTAGGACGTCAGCCTTCATAATTTTTATCGTGTTATATAAAAAGGTCATTCCAGTTGATACGACGTAAACGTAAAATCATGCTCAAATGGTTCCGTTTAATGTTTTTATACGTTATACTGCAGACGGAAGTTTTATATCTGAAAAGAATGCGTAAAGAGTTTTCAGAAGATATATCTATCTGTTATCCTCACTATTTGCGATCATTATTTTTCAAAAGACTACCACTTTAATTATAAGTATACCTAATGAATTAGAACAGACATTTTATTAAATTGTTTTATCCCAATAAAAAAACTGAAATTTCAACTTCTTACAAGTTGTAAGGAATTCGATTTCCACCCTTGCATAATGCGCATTGCCTTTACAAATGGCATTATTCTGGTTTATATCTTTCTAATATACAAACAGTCTGTTTGTCATGCAGATATAACAAATATTTTAATGGCATGATTGTATTATATAATTTCGACAAGACTTTAAAATAACAATTCTCTTTATAACTGTCCGAAATGTAGGTACAATAATTATTTTATAGTTTTAATTAATTAAATAATGGACAGGAGTTGCTTGATGTTAAACAATTCTTTTTCTAGGATTCGAAATTCAACTTTTCGTTATACATTGATAGAACAATTAAACGTCTCGGCCCTTTCCACATGTAGCAGGAATACACCGACTGGATACGTATTGCGTTTTGGTTTAAAAAATTAAATGTAAATAAATAATTAGCAATGACTTCAAATGTTAAAGTATTGAATAACTTTATTTTATGCTTAATACCGATTAAATGATGTAAATTAAAAAATATAAGTCAAGGTAAAATGCTGATTGCTGTGTTGTTGTTGTTGTTGTTGTTTGTTTTTTTTTAAACACACAAAAAAAGTTGACATATTTTAAGACTAATTATCTTTTATTCAGTGGCATATTTTATTATTGATTCGTGTTAATCATTTAGACCATAAACTCGTATTTGATCGTATTAACACTTCGTTATCTTTTTTTGCAATGCTTACGAAAATAGGTTGTTAAGATGTTTTGAAATTACTTTACTTCAGTGCAAGAATATATCGTAGTCCTAACAAAATCTATATTTTTGTACAGGATGTCCAAAACCAGTCCCAAGACTCCGGGAACGCTCAAGGCAGCATAAAGTCATTTGATTCTACGGAGAAACAGAAGAGTTTCCGGCGTCTTATTATCAGGTTCGCCGAGAAAACATCGATGACAGGCGTCCCTTACATCAATAATGCAAAGTTTTGGTGGGCAAGATTGATTTGGTGTTTTATGTTGCTTGTTGCTATTGCCGCAATGTCTTTGCACCTTTGGTATCTTATTGACCAATACACAGACTATCCTGTACAGACAAAAATTTCGTTGGGATTCCAGACTCTTGATTTTCCTGAGGTTACTTTATGTAACGTTAATATCATAAACAAACGGCGTTTGGACGACTACAAGAAGGCTGAGAAACTAAAGGAACTTCTTGATGAATTACACCCTGAAAACCTTGTACCAAATCAGTATCTTCAAAACAATGTTTTATACGCCTCAAAAAGTCCGTCTACAGGGAAACAACAAGGCGATGCTAACCAGGGACTGGCTAGCCAACCTCCGAGCGAATCAAATTTTCAAGGGGGTCAACAAAGCGTTAGTATTTCTGGTCCGCAAAAACCACTTATTGTAGAATTGTTATATTTTTACAATTATATTCTACAAAACTTTATTTTTCATGTTTTACAATTTGTTATGTTGGATAAAATCACTTATGAAAGCAATGTTTAACATTAAACGGAATTGTTTCAAGAAATAAGACCTTAACGGCAATTGTAAATGAAATGTTTTGTTTTGCGTTTTCTGTCCATCTTTGTCGAGCCTTTTTAAGTATTTTAAACAGTTCAGTAAACAGTACACAGATTTTTTAAGTAAAACATTTTCACAGAATGCGGAAGATTTTTAATAATGTTAACACTTTAATTTATATCTTTATCGTTTTGTCTCATAAGAGATTTGTCCATAATTAAGTTAATATGTACCTGGTTTATTTTTATTTATTTTTCAACTTTCTTCGGAAAATGTTAAGAAATAATTTGTGTGTCATCTGTTGTCTAGTGCATGTTCATGTAAATATATTTCCGCATTAATCAACAACAGAGACATAAGCGATTTATTGACAAGTATAAAAGCTTCAATAAAACCCGTTTTGATGGAAAAGAACGTCCAAATGTTCGAGAAATAGGACCAAAAGATCAAAATGATTTTGATGGAGAGGTAGATTTTAGGACAGAGCTTGAAGACCTATTTAAATGGCTGTTCATGTCAATCCCTAAGTAAGTTGAAAAATAAGTCATAATTGTAATTTAATTTAAACATATTTCAGTATTTTCTAGATAATTATGTTCAAATACGAATTGGGATGTTAGTGTTTTCAGATAAGAAATAATTGAGCACAAATTACACGTAAGAAAATTGTACAAATTGACACCATTATCTTCTCCGTCTGTCCGCTATCTTGCCCATCGTTTCGTATTAAATATCATTGGCATTTCTGGCCTTTCCCACCTTTCAGAACGGCGTTAAATAGCGCGGGAATTCGAAGGAAACAACGCTGTCTTCCTCCAAAGATGGCGTCCTATAAAGACATATATTCCAACTCATGTTGTTAAAATACCTATAGCAAGAAACTACAAAGTCAGAATGAAAGAAATGATTGACATTTTCCGGAAAAGTTGATTACTGATCGTGGTTCAACCCATTAGCTACTTTTTAGCTCGACTATTCGATAAGAATAAGTAGAGCTATTGTAGTCACCCGAGCGTCGGCGTCGGCGTCTGCGTCCGCGTCCGCGTCCGCGTGACCACTTATGTTAAAATATTTTCAAAGTCCATTGACATATGGCTTTGGAACTTTGCACACTTGTTCACCATCATGACCCCAACCTGTAGACAGGAGGAGGTAACTCTATCAAGCATTTTGACAGAATTATGCCCCTTTTCGACTTAGAATTTACGTTAAAGTTTTTGTTATACCTCAAATATTTTCAAAGTTCATTGACATAAAGCTTTGAAACATGTTGAAATTTTATACTATTCTTTGAGAGCATAATAGGACTCTCTTCAAGGCCTATAACTGTAATATGGATTTAAAGAAAAAAAAATGTCTTTTTCTTTACTGAGAAAATTTTTCCTTTTAATCAAGGCTTTTTTACTATCAAGCACTAAGAATAGTCGAGCGTTGCTGTCCTACCGACAGCTCTTGTTTTGTAAATAATTTGACAAAATGCAGTTACAGTTATACATGTGTACACAAAGAGCATTTTATATGTTTAAATCAAAAGACAATTCCTGAGATATATATTTTGCATTTGAACAGACGGGAGAGGGCTGAACTAGGCCACAATATAACAGACATGCTGATTAGCTGTACATTTAATGGGAGGACGTGCTCTTCAAAGTAAGACCTGTTAGAAGTTATCACATTTTCTTATCGTAACCTTTTTATGTTGTATTTTAAAATGGATAGTACAGAAACTTTAATTTTTTTCTAGTTCAAAAGTTGGTAAGTTGAACCATGTGTTGTTTCTATGCGATCTTACTGATGTACTATTGTAAATATGAAATAAAATTCAAGGATATGGAATAAAAACAAAGAATATGAAATGAGATATATTCCACATATCCAGTGTTTAAAGGTAAAAGATGAATATAACTCAGCTATTTAGTTTTATACTATAACATCACACCTGTCTTTATGTACCGCTCGAGAGAAATGACAAAGTGGACTTTGTTGACACGTAGTCCATCAAAATGATATGTTCGCAACTTAACGTGATAATTATTCTTAAATCTTAAGGGAAACCAATATATAATAAAACCAATTTATATATATTTATATATATATATAACACCAGCGTAAAGCGACAGAAAAAAGTATGGTTTTCTTCGAAGGTGGTGTTTTGCATGTTTTTATTTTGGTAACATTTAATATATGGAGAGGTATCCCTTCTTATTCAATGGATTTACTTCAAACTTTAAAGCAGCATGCATCCAGATTCATGTTATTTTTCATGAAAACTTTGCTTTTTAAAATGTATTTAAAAGTGCAATTTTGTCAAGCGAACGAAGAAAGTTATTTACACATTGTACATAAAAAATACAAAAAGAAATTACCACAAATTAGGCCAGAATGTGCAAATAAGCCCTTGCAGTAGAAATATGCTGACATAAACTGCAAAATCAGTCATTTATTGCATATAACATGTAAAATAATTCTTGAATTATGACTATTCTAAAGATTCTTAAAATCTTAAGTTAGTACATTTTCTCAAGATTGGTTTTCTTGAAATATTTTGGCTGATCTGGAGACATGTAGCTTTACATATATGAGCCGCGCCATGACAGAATCGACAATGTGCGTATGCGACAAGCATGGATACAGACCATGATGTTCGTTTACAAACCCTATTACAAGCGAACATCATTGATCCTGATCAGATTCGTGGATACACAGGTTTATCTGGATCCATGCTGGTCGCTAACGCACTAGGTTGGTTTTGCGCGGCTCATATATTCTTTATCATTCTCAAATATAATTTGATATATTTCATAAGTCAAAAAATAAAATTAAAACAAGGCTTAGAAATTACTTTAATTTACTAAAACTTATCTCAATCTTTTTTTCTTAAACTTGTTTTACTTCTCAACCTTCAAATACATGTTCCTTGTTGTCGCTCACATCATGTATGTGAAGGTAAATCACTCTGGTACCATTAAAATCATTACTTGAAATTGTTATTTTCAACCGTTATCTTTCTTGTTTTTACACACTTGAAACAGTTTTTCCGTATCATCTTCTCTGACTTGTATGATAAGGTTCATAGCTTTGGCATCTTTATTTCAAGAGTTATGTCCTCTTTGAAGTTTGTGTTACTTTACTTATAAAGTATAATTCGTATGCTTATTATCTGTGTTACTAAACTTTACTCTAGACTTCAGAGTGTTGTTTGTTTCATTACAACGAGTACATTTCTGTTGATATTTCATATTTTCATTTCATCGACATACATGTTATGCTGCGCATTAAATAAATTAGTAATTTTAGTTTTTATTTGTTATTTACATATATAGAAACATATAAAACTTTTTTCCAGGATGTTCAAACTTCATCAGACGACAGAATATGGTAATTGCTGGTCAATCAGTTCTGACAAATTTAAAGTGAAACACCCAGGACCATCTGGAGGTAAATTTGATTCAAAAAGAAATATCATTAATTATTTCTTATAATAAAGTTAGACATTGTCAACTGAGAATAAAATTTGACTGTTTCCTTGTGTTTGAAAGATTCTTAAGATTTCACCCGAACTGACGGTAAAATGTGGCCAGACTTGTAGACGAGAACGTGTTGGCAATATATTTAAGCTAGACTATTCAAAGAATCGTGGTCCTGTTCTAAACCATGCGTGGATGTCGGCGTATAACTTGCTTCACATGTGCATTCATATCTCATGAAGCACATAGTGTTTTGAAGTTCATATTCCAAGACCCATAACTCTAGCATGAACTATGCCACAATTATCACCCAAAGACTTATTTAGCTTACAAACTCCTAGTTTGCGTCCAAGGTCCATCTCTACCACTATTGGATTTTTTTCACATGAAACTTCAAAGATGTGTTCTGGATTTCACTTATGGATTATATTATTATCTACTAAGTCTACATACTCTGTCATTGATTTGTGTTGATTTGTAGCCCCTTTATTGGCTTGAAAATTTCTTGGAACAAAATTTTGATGTGGGATTAATCTTCACAACTATGGAAGGTATTCACGCGAATTTATTAGCTGAAGGTCGTTGTCGACCATACTGTACTCTGATATGGAACCCAAGTGTATCATAGCCTTAGCCTTTTTTTTATCATTTAACAATATCTTGGTTAAAGTACATTTGTATTGCGTGGAAGAGTATTTTCATAACTTCAAAAAATACACTTTTAAAACCTTACTTTTGCCTTCAAAATAATGCGTTGGCCTTATATATATTTGTCATGGATTTCGAGTGACATTTTACAATTTGTCAACTGTTTTCACTGTCTTACTAACAGCTCATATGTTATAAAATTATGTCATACTTAGAATGACGTTTATGTCAGTGATAATCATAAAAAATGGGTTAGTTATAACTTAAAATTTGAAAATTATTTGTATTACAACTTTAAACTAATCTTTTAACTAACGAAAGCGGCGAATATGTTTATAAAGATCACGAAACAGTTTCTTACCTATTAAAGCAAATGTTTTTTTTTCTAAACCTAAAAAGTTACAAAAGTAAGTCTTTTTTTTCAAAATTTGTTGCCCGATGTACACATATGGAAACAAAGTTGTTGTAATGTTAACGAAACAACCATTTTATGCAAGTTACTATCATAGTGATAATATTTACTTTTTCAGGGCTATCTTTAGTGTTATATCTAGAGGTTGCAGACTATCTAAAAGGTCTGACGACAGGGCACGGTGCTAGAATTCAGATTCAAGAACAACGTACATATCCTTTTCCAACAGAAGAAGGGCTGTTTATTCCAGCTTCCATGGAGACAAATATTGGACTAAAAATGGTAATTTAGATTTGTAAGCGGGTCTACTAGTATTTTCAAAACTATCCTCTTTCGACTGAAAACTTGCCCGTAATGGGAAAAGTTTTAAAGCTTGTCATTCGAAGAAAAATTACACTAATTAATATAAATGGCAGCATTCTTTTTACTGCATAACAAGTCTTTTTCTATGATGTAATTTCAATGTCTTCCATATCTGAAGAGCAAACGCCATTCTGTCCATTTTCGTGCAGCATATCTAGTCGCAACTTCTCGGTACTTTCCGTCAATCTTTGGATAAAGACTTATTATGAATATTCGGCGACTGACAGCATATCTTTTCATAAATACAATTGTAAGTCACTGGTCATTTTATTGTTCAGATATCTATTTCAAGACAAGGCGGTCTTTACGGTGACTGTAACGATGGAAAGGTTCTGGAAAAATCCTCAACGTACAAATATACAAGATCGGTACGAAAATACAATCTTATTCCTCCAGAATAAACATTGTTTATTGAAGCTCGATTGTGAAATTAAACTTTTTTTGGTTATAACACACCCTAGTTAGCTACCTGGATCTCAAAGAATCTGGTATGATATAAAAAGTGGTTGTGACCTGAGTTGGGCTCGAACTGGTCTGTAACTACTATTTTCCTTTCAATCATGTTATAAAAAATTCTTAGGTAACTGATGTATTTAGTTACCCAGCTGATTCACATCAACTTGGCGGTAGATTATTTTGAAAGCTTCAGTGACTAGAATTGTGCCACCCTGGGTCACAAAGACGCTTTAATGTCTTGGTGTGACATTGTAGGTGACAAACCATTTCTCAAACTGAGGATGGTTGTTCAGCCTTTAAGACGAAAACTGCACGATTAAGACATGCTGTCTAAGAACAAATATTCGATATATCAAAACAGAAGTTTCTGTATTTGCACAGTTTTTGAATTTGTATCGGAAAATCTTTGTAATATTTAATCAAGTTGTTTTGACTGTCTTAATAATGAATTAAACTAAAATTATAGTATTTTCTAGGCATGTCAATCACTTTGTCTGACTGACAAAATAATGGAAATGTGTCGCTGTTACGACGAACGGTTTGAGGAATTGGCAATGAGTAAAAGTAACAGACTTAGATCATGCCGAAATCATACTGGCAAGTATAACTATATAACAGCTGTTTTATTAACGCCTTGAATTTGAATCTGCCATTTCCAAACAAATTCAATAAATCAAAATACATTAAAAATATATGCTGGTGAAATATGTTAATTATAAATATAACTCAAAAATGGTAGATTATTACGTTTATGTTGCAGAAATAAAGTGTATGGCAGCATTAAAACGAGATTTTGTAATGAATGAAATTCCATGTACTTGTTTCAACCCTTGTAGGTAAGTTTCAAAATTGCACTTTAAGTCATATTTGTTTAGTTATTGAATATAATCTGTAAAGCACAATTTAACTGCGAGTAAAATATAAGAAATACAAATGCACATGTCGGATCATTTATAGATTAGCTCGAAGTTACGCATCAGCCCGACCCCGGGGAACAGATCGTAAATTTGACTTCCTCAGTATTAAAATTCTTGTTAAACACCCGAACCACAGTTCTCTTTGGGAACGGTCAGATAGTAAAAATCTGCTGCATTTCCTCACACTGAAAGTTTGACTTATCCCTCGCTATTTTGGCACAAAAATAAAAAAAAAATAAAAAATAATAAAAAAAAAAACAACGCCATATTGACTCGGCAGTGTCAAGAAAAAGGTTAAAAAACAAACTAAGTTCAATTCCCTACTATCCCTTGCACTAGCCAGGAGATTGGGAAATATTCATTAATACATCTGAAAAAAAATCCAAAATAAAAACATGAAATGAGCAATGTTTTTGACTAAACAATGTATATCCATTCAAGTTTTGTATGTCGCTTAACTATTTTCATCCAGAAAACTATTGTTGTAGAACGATACTAGAACATCCTGTCTTTATTGAAAGTTCATTTCAATATTTACAGAGAAGTTCAATACGCCAAAAGTGTTAGTCAAAGACAGTGGCCAGATGAAGATTATGCGGTAAGATATGATGTGGTTTTCTAATAACAACTTTTAACCCTAAAGTTCCATAATGAATGCAAGTGCAAACGAAATTGTTTCCCCTTAACAATACAATAAAACTTTCTGAACAAGGTAAGTCTTTCTTCTATAAGCTTCTCAATTTTTATTGCTAAATTCTCCAACACTAAAAGTGAATAAGTCCACATCTGAAGAAGAGAATTTTGGCTGCGTTTGAGTTATTCATTGTTGAAACCATCTTTTGTTAATATTGTTTTCATGTGGTAGTTTATATAATGAAAATGAATACATAAAATTAACACTTTGTGTTTTGCTCTAATATTTTTGTGCCGTATCATTACTCCACTTTCCGCTGATTTTGTTACATTTTAATGCAAAGTACAGAACTACATGTACATAAACCTACTAATGATGTAAGACGTTTGGCATATCAATTATATCACACTGTGGTTGTATGTGAGAAGTTAGCAGTGAACAGTGAGCTAAGCAAAAAGGCATTTCAATTTATATAGGGAAGGTAATGATCTGCTGTAATGCTCAGCTGTTTTGGGCATCTAGCACGGCATTGCTAAATATAGTGTAAAAATGCTCTGCTGCAATACTCAGCTGTCTTGGCAATCTAGCAGAGCATTCCTAGCTTTAGTGAAAAAATGCTCTGCTGGAACGCTCAGCTGGCTAGGCAATCTAGCAGTGCATTACTAAATATAGTGTTAAAATGCTCTGCTGGAATGCTAAGACGGCTAGGCAATCTAGCGGGACATTACTAAATATAGTGTACAAATGCTATTCTGGAATGCTAAGCTGGCTAGGCAATCTAGCAGGACATTACTAAATATAGTGTACAAATGCTATTCTGGAATGCTAAGCTGGCTAGGCAATCTAGCAGGGGAGTACTAAATATAGTGTAAAAATGCTCTGCTGGAATGCTAAGCTGGCTAGGCAATCTAGCAGGGCATTCCTAAATATAGTGAAAAAAATGCTCTGCTGGTATGCTAAGCTGGCTAGGCAATCTAGCAGAGCATTACTAAATACAATGTAAAAATGCTCTGCTGGAATGCTAAGCTGGCTAGGCAATCTAGCAGGACATTACTAAATACAGTGTAAAAATGCTCTGCTGGAATGCTAAGCTGGCTAGGCAATCTAGCAGAGTATTACTAAATATAGTGAACAAATGCTTTTCTGGAATGCTAAGCTGGCTAGGCAATCTAGCAAGGCATTACTAAATATAGTGTAAAAATGCTCTGCTTGAATGCTAAGCTGGTTAGGCAATCTAGCAGGGCATTGCTAAATAAAGTGTAAAAATGCTCTGCTGGAATGCTAAGCTGTCTAGGCAATCTAGCAGGGCATTACTAAATATAGTGTAAAAATGCTCTGATGGAATGCTATGCTGCTAGGCAATCTAGCAGAGCATTACGAAATATAGTGTAAAAATGCTCTGCTGGAATGCTAAGCTGGCTAGGCAATCTAGCAGGGCATTACTAAATAAAGTGTTAAAATGCTCTGCAGGAATGCTCAGCTGGCTAGGCACTATAGCAGAGCATTCCTTAATATAGTGAAAAAATGCTCTGGTGGAATGCT